AAAAGGAAGATGCATTAATTTTATCTTTCACAAATGAGAACAACAAAAATTTTTTAAAACGTTCACTAAAATCAATGAATCGTTTATTTTGCCTATTTGGTGTAGTGTGGCAGGGAAAAAGAAAGAAAATCTGCACAAAGAAATTAATTAATCATTAATTGTTTGAAATAAAAATTTTGATCAATGCACAAAAAATAGCAGATTATATTTCTATCATAAATATATTCAACAATTTTTGTTCTAAATTTTAAACAGTATCTTTTTAGACTTTTAATCAAAAAAAAAAAATGTTCTACTTAGTATGTCAAAAATAGAAAAAATTTAAACTATTTAATAATAAATTTAGAACAAAAACAACATTTTCCATTAAAATATTAAATTAAAAAGATATTTAAGAAATATTTATTGCTTAGAATGTGAAATGAAAACTGCTATATATATATGACAGCATGGAAACGTAAATACGTTAGTATCATGAAAATTAATTATAATTCGAACTGTTTTCTTCTAAGTTTTTAAGTTCTAAACTTCAAGTTCTAAGACTTAGTTCTAAGACCTTCTAAGTTCTAAGACTTAGAAGTCAATCTTCCAAGTTAAATAGTCAATAAGTTAGTAGATTGTTTAAGATTGACTTAGTTAACTAAGTCAATCTTAGTCAACCTACTAATTAAGCAATAATATTTTTTCAATCAATTTGATCTGAAAAATTCACCTTCAGATTTAAACTATCTAATTTTAGGTTGCCATCGATAGTTATTAACTTTTAAATTTATATTTTACACTTCGCATACTATTCAAACTTTACATGTCTGGAATGCTCTGATATATCTCATCATTAAACTTTACAAGAATGTACAAAAATAAATTATTGATTGATTTTTTTTGCTACTTATGTAAAAAACAACAAAATATGAATGATGTTGATGGTGACAAAAAAAATGGAACTTCGTTCTATAAATTTACAATTTAAATTGAAAAATTTCCAAAGTTAGTCATTTTCTGTTAATCTCTAGTCAAAAAATAAGAAGTAAAGAAGCGGTGAAGAAAATAAATAAAAATTTTAATTTATTTCTTGAAAATTCTCATTTATGTATGATTTCGTTTTTCCTAGTTTACAATGAAAGAAGCTTTAGATAAAAATGAGATTTTTATAATTCAAACATCGGAAATTACATATGTATTGTCATCGATTGGATGACATATCAATTCATTTTTGCAAGAAATCGATTTCTTTTCTAAATTGACTTTAAAAGTTTTCATTTTTTACTGTGTGAATGTAACTTACTAAAAAAGTCGAAAAAATGAAGAATTGTAAAAATGAAACTGAAAAGGAAAAAAAAATTGAGGGAATTTTCATTCTGAACGCACATATAACTTATTGATTTTTACATTGAAACAACTGACAAAATTGCTCAAATCAAATAGAATACTTGTAATTGAAAACCTGTTCATTAAAATTCTTGTAATTCATTCAATCAATACGCATCATTTTGAAAGAGCAAAAAAAGTTTAAAAGTTCAATAATCAAAAGTTAAAAGTATTGACTTATCAATTTTTAAGTTTCACCAAATAAAAATAACAGTAAATAAAGAATGGATAGAATTAAATAAGAATAAAGAAGAAAAATAGGAGTAAATCGAATTAACAATAATAAGTAAGAATGAATATGAGTAAAAAATTTTAGAAAGGAAAAAAAAACAACGATAATACAATGCTAATTTCTGTAAGACGAAATATAGCAACAAATTAATTTTAAAAATTCAGAAGTATAATAATCGAAATTATTCAATAAAGTGGATGGCAACGGAAATGTTCTAAACTGAACTGGTCAAAATAAATAAAGCAAATCGAAATGAAGTGAGTATTAAGCCATTTGGATATCATTGCTAATATTAAAGCTTTCAGGGAAGTATTAAAACCTTCTTGAAGCTCAATGAATAAAATGAAAGAGGGAGAAGAGAAAGAGAGAGAAAGAGAGAGAGAGAGAGAGAAGGAAGGAGAAAGAGTAAATTCTGCAGACATTAAATTTGTAATAACAAGAAACTAAAGAATCAGAATATATTAACATTATTCATACAAATAAGAAAACAACTCGATAATAAGTCAAAATTTATTCTAATATTATTAGAAATTTAAACAAAATTTATGAAATTTATGAATAAGTAAAAATCGACAGAAAAAAAAATTATTTTGATGAAAAAAGGAATACAAAAATTGATTATACTATTAAAAATTGAAACAAAATTTGTGAATGATTAAAAATTTAATAGAAAAAAATTCATTTATTAATATTATCAATGAACAAAAACGTATACATTAACAATAAATTTTTTGAAAAAAAAAAAACATGAATAAAAGTATTGGTGAATGGAGGATTGCAATATAACACATACATTTCACAAAATTTCAGCTTATTTGCTTCCTCACTTCCAGCACTTCTCATCCATCGCTAACCTTCGCCCCCTCATTTTCTCTTTTTTAACTTTACACAACCGATCTCTCAATTTCATTTTATCTATCGTTTAACAGCAAATAACAATCAAAAGCATCCCTTTTCTCGCACTCACTCTCTCAAACAACTAATCATTTCCACTTTCTTCAATTATTTCTATTTGTTATCAGTTTGTAGCAAATTAGCATGGTAAATTAAGAAAACAACATTAAAATATTTTAATTAATTTATTAACAAAAGAAAAATAAATGTATAATTGGGAAAAATAATGCAAACCGACTAATAATAAATTGATTATTAATTCTTAGTCATCATTTTGAATCGCATTAATTTTTATGATTAATTAAAAAATGAAATATTTAGCATATGTTTGTAAAAAAATGAAAGTAAAATAAAATTATAGCATTAATGGATGATGCATTAACTAGCAGTTGTATATGTCATATGTTAGCCATTTAGTTGAAATTTAAAGCAGTTGAAATTTTAAACAATGTTTGTTGCTGTTGTTGTAATATATATATATATATATTCTATTACGAATTATTTGATAACATAATATTAAATATTCTATTATTTATACAAAACTTTAGGGTAATCTAAAAAAATTAATTAATGAATTTATTCATGAAACAGAAAAAAACACAATTCTTTTCTGAATAGTAAGAAAAAATTATGGCAAGCATTTACTTAGTAATGTAAAATTCATTTTATGAAACAAAACTTTTACTACGAATTATTATAAAACGACGTTTTATCCCAATCTAAATTTTAATAGTATTGTAAGAATTTTGTACCACTAAATTTCCAGAAATGTAAATAGTCCATTATGTTGCAAAATGTATTTTACACATCTATATGTTCAACTTATATTAAAATCAGTTTTGAAAAAAAAAAAAACGAAAAATAAATTTAAAAGTGCAATATTACAGTAAATTTGATTGCATTGTAATAATTTGACATTGTTGATGTCAAATGATTTTTAAATTTCAAATTTAATAAGTAATAAAATTACCGCGCTAGTTACATCATAAAAAGCATGCTTTTTGAATGGTATCTTTTTATCTCTTTTCTTAAAAAATATTTTACATTAACTTAGCAATAATCAAGGATAATGTTAATTACAATCTAAAAAGTCATACGTCAGCAACAAACAACTGGAACGAAATGCACAATAAATAAAGTTAACAGACAGTACACGATTGGTAAAAGCAATTTTTAAAAATTCAAAAAAAAAAAATCTGCAACACCGAAATAAGCCTCATTAATCAATAATTTAATTGGATGTTTTTTTGACAAAAATTAGACTATTTTGTTGATTGTAATTTTTTGAACAATTTTTTAGTTTGGGAATACATTTAAATTCATACATTTTTCAATAATATTCCACATTTCAAGTAAATTGATAATTTTTTTTTCTTTTTTTCTTAGAAATTGTATAAAGCAAAAGAAAGTTGACAAATATTCATAAAAGATTAAATTTATTTTATGTTGGTATTGATGGACGAAACTGCTACGTGCATGAATGATATAATGATGGAATTGACGTGTGGAAGTATCACGCACACAAACTTTCAACAAACGATCAATTTATGATAGCTTTTTTTTGTTAAAAATGTAAAATTTTTTGAATTTGTTATATATTTTATATTGAAAAATAATTGGTTGCATTTTTACTAAAAATATTTTTATTCATAATAGTTTTTTTTTTTTTGGAAATGTCTGAAAATAATAATAACAATTTTGATTTGGAATCAGTAAATTTATGTGTGACCTTTCTCAAACAATTAAATTTCTTGTTTTCTTTGCTCATACATCTTTCCACGTTATATGACGTGAATTACGTAACATAATTGCTCCACTTACCTTGTGCTGCATAGTGGAATATTTTTCAACTTTTCTCGTTTTTTAAGCAATTTTCTTTTTTTTTTGGAAATTACGAAGAAAGTGATTAGAGCTTTATTATTAAAATTATTAAAATTAACAGATTTTATTCAATTTTAATCAGTTATGCTAATTTCTGAAATTTTTTTGATTGATTAATCGTTTTGTTATTTCCGTTAATTTCATACCTCGCAATCGGTCGCATCAATGCATTTTGCTAATTTCGCCGAGAAATGTAGGCGAATTGATCAGTATAGAAATGATTTGATCTTCACTTTTCTAAAATTTTGTTTGTATGCAATAATCAATTTGCAAAAATATTTCAATTTTAATTTATTTTTAAATCCTTCATGATCTGAAGTTTAGCAAAAGTGACAGAAAACGATGACATTCAGAGATGTTTGACAGCAAAACGTCTTGCCGGAATGATACGAACGCTTAAGGAAGAAATTATCAACGAATTGAGTATTTGGCAAGAAACAAATGCCGAAAATTGCCAATTAAAAATTGATATTCATCATTTTCAGCAAAGGTACCAAAATTACAGATTTAGAAATAAAAATTTAAATCAGTTTTTTAAATCTTTAATTTTTGTGAAATTTTCTGAAAAATTCTTTAGGACACTAATGAAACAAAAATTTGACAATGTACATCATTTTAACTAATTAATTATTTTCACTCCTTTATTTTTCCATCATTCACGTTTTCATCTATGATATTATCAGGAAGGATGATTGTGGTAATTTGAAAGATAGAAAAAGTGCTTTTATTAGATGGTGTACTAAATTACTTGTTTTTGGTCAATAATTAGTAAAATCATTTTGGTCTGATTCTATTTATCGATTCCATTACAATTACTTTAACACTGAAATTTATTCATTGCGAAATTAATTTCCGATTTTTATACATCGTCTATATATCACCATATCATCAAACATAAAAAATAATTTCCAATTTGCAAATATATGTGTGAAATATTTTAGACTTAAAGAATTGGATGTTTTGTGTAGCAATTGTGAAACTTTAAATGCAGAAATTAAATGTCGAAAAAAACGTTATTCGGAACAGTTGACAAAAATTTCAAAATTAATTTCTGAACAGGTCTTTCTCCATAACTATTTTTCAGTCTAAAAATTATTTTAAATGATTGTAAAGTGTGCATATCGGTAAAAGCAACGAAGAAATATGAAAAAAGATTTGAAAAAATTAATTTACTCGAAAGAAAAATTGAAAATTTTGTTAACTTTCAAAAAAAAGACATAATTAATGATTTAAAAACTTTGCAAATATTACTGAATAAATATCATCTAAGAGTTGATTTAATAATGAACTTTGACATGCAAAATTTAATAATGGCTTTGTGAAGAATTTTGAAGCTGCTAATTGGGCAATAATTTTGGATGAAATGGTATTTGTTAATCGAGAATTATTTGACACTTTGTTGTCAACAGCTATTGCAGAACGACAAGCTCTTCAGGTTAATTCATCTTTTTTTTTTTTTGGATCAATTTATTCCATTTAATCATCGTGACAAAATCAATCAATGATTAATTTAGTTTCCCTAAATTTAATCGATTAATTTCAGATTGAAGTAGTTGACGAGGAGAAGTATAGAATTATAGCCGAAAAATTAGTTTTGAAACGGATCGAATTACGCCAAGAATTACACTCCCAAATGAACAGTTATGAATCGTTGAGAGCACAAATTAAGCAAACTGAAATTCATCTGATGAATCTTCAAAAAGCTGTCGATGTATACGATGCGGAATATTGGCAGTTAGATGATACAAAACATGAGTGAGTATCGGTATTGAGAAATATCGGGAAATGACCAGAATTAATGAGAACAGTTTTTTTTTTCTTTTTCTTTTTTCTTCATCTTCGAAAAAATTAAAACAAAAAATTAATTTATATAGTTCCACTTTTTTTATAGTTTACAATCACAAATTTTCAAACTACAACAACTTCTTCGTCATTCTCAGCGTCATCGTCATTTCAATTCATCGCGCAAATCATCTCCTTCAAATGATGATAACAGTGATAAGGATGATAATGCGGAATATAAAAGTGACAAATGTTTAACAATAAAATCCGAATCCAATGAAACGATTTCATGTCGCAAGAAATCAAAGGTTATGTAAAATCTCGTTAACAATACGTAAATAAAAGAAGAAATGATAGACAGCTGAAAATGCTCATTCAATGCCGAATTTAGAATTAAACTTGGAAATGTGAGCAAGCAACTAAGCTTAATTATGTAAATTTTACAATCAATTTCAGAAAATGAATTATGATATTGCAAGTGCTAAAGGTGAAGGTCAAATGGTATCGAAAACAATACCAGAAATAAAGTCAGCTAATGTTACTGATAAAAGGAAAGATTTCAAAAAAAGTGCTATTGAAGTTGCTGGCCAATCAAAAGTTGACGGTAAATTCGGGCATGAAAAATTGCAATCATCCGTAAGTATGATAAAAAATAATATGATAAAAAAGATAATCAAAATTATTAAGTATTTCAGGAGTATTTTTTTTTGGAAAAAAGTGTTTATACTTAAAATTTTTTAAAATTCAATAATAATTTTATCGACTGATTGTAAAAATTAATGTCGCACAATAAATACTATCTGTGATATATGATAATCATAATTTTGTCAAAGAAAAATTGATACTTCAGAAACGTGAAATAAAAATAGCAAATAAAACGACAAGTTTGGACATTTTATCTGACTTTACATGGAACGAGCATGAAAATGATTCCATGCACGATCAATCAATATCAACGAGTTCACCGATATCAACCGATAAATCTCATTTCCTCGTTCAAAATCGCAAATTACCATTGGTAATTCAATTAAAATTTCATGAAATATTTACATTATTTGAATTAGAATTTGAATTTCAAAAAAAAAAATTTTTTTAGTTTCACTGACGTAAAATAGTTTTAAATTTTGATAAATTCAATCATTTATCAAATAAATTTTTACAACTGCAAGAAATTACAGTACGAAAAGCGAATCAACCAGCAGTATAAGGAAGATTCAGATGGATCATCATCGACGGAATCCTTCAAGACCACGCCATCAGAAATAATGATGAGTAAAACTGTTAGATTTTGTAAATTATTTAATTTGAATATGAAATGCATTTTTCATAGCTTAATTAAAAGATTTTTTCTTTTTTTTGTTCAATTAGCTGTTGTTGTTTGTGCTACAGTGAAAAGCAACAAAGTTAAAAGCCAGAAATTGAAAATATTCCAAATGTTCAGGAGACCAAAAAGGGAACTGAATGCTTCGAACCGATTAAATTAATTGAAATTGCTGCCGTGTCACCGAGTTTTGCTAAGGACATGAAACATCAAAGGTCACCGATTGATTCGGAGCCAAAAGAAATGATAGCAAATGAAGTTAACAGTAATCAGGAAAGTACCACTGATTTACGAAGCAGCGATGAAGAGAATGGTATCAGTTCAAGCAAATTAAGCAGCTTTCCGGTTTCGGATGGTGAAGGAACCGATTTAATATCTGAATCCATTTCGCTTTCGGATCCATCATCGGAAAAAACTGATTCTGTGTCAACAGTTGAAAGTGACATCAAAGATCATGAAAGAAAGGTATTTTAATTAATATTTTAAGTAAGAATAATTAATTTAGGTTAGCTGCGCTAATCTCCATTTTAATGGGCAAATATTGTACGAAACTCTTTTTTTAACTCAATTTTAACTAATTAATAATCAACCGATTATGTATGCGATTAGCACTTACTTGCAATGTTAGCCTAATAATTTCTGTAAAAATTTTTCCGATGATTTGAATATAATTCAAAGAATTTAATATGCATCTCTTTTTTCGCAAGAAAAATTGTCTCCGACAGCAATTATTATCAGATCAATAACATTCCATATCTTTTACATTTGATTTTGTTTTGATTTAAAAATTTGAGAGTTTGCAATTTGTAAAGCTGCAAATTTTTTAAATGACACTAAATATATTAACAAATTTAAACTGAATCCAACAATATCTTTGTTTTATTCATTTTAATTGGAAACTGCAAATTATTTGTTTCTTTACAAAAAAGCACAGTATTACTTACTTTGAAGTTATACCGAAGCAATAATCTTTCCTAATTTTAAATGAAAATTTGCAGTTGTTTTCGTTCCTCAACAATTCCTCTGAACATCAAACTGAAATTCAGCCACCACAGAACATTTCAGGATCTGAAATATCAACAGACAGTAAGACTTTTTGGCTATTAAAATATTTTGTAAATAGTTCTGTAACGGCTATACGTGAAAAATGATAATGTTTTCACTTATCAATGAGTATTTATTAGTACTCATCAATACTTGTCAATATTTATCAAAACTTCTCATCGCGTATAATCGTAATCATTTAATTACCTTTTTCATTACTTTGTCTATTTTATTTCTGCATTGTCACAAAAAAATATTTAATATTAATTAACCGAAAAGTAATTATTTGTTTATTATTGAGGAAGCGATTTGATTCAACGACAATCAATTCGTCAACCGCTTCACAATCGCTCGTTTCATCGCGGTTCGTTCCTATCGATTATAAAAATGTTGAATTTAAAAATTGAAACCTCTGATGGCGAGAATGGCAGGGAAAGGACATTGTCTGAGATAATCAATAATCCTCCATATAATTTCCCGCGATTCCTGAATTATCCTCCAATATACCAATTCCTTTGGGATTTTATCCTGATTGATCGCTTTACATATACCAATTCCGTTAAATATTATGATGTTTAAATAATTTTTAAAGGGATTGATTAATTGACAATTAAATGAATGATTTTTTTGTGATTCAAAGAAATCCTTCCAAATTCAAAAAATGAAATTCAAAAGCAGTGGTTGAGAGCAATTTTAATAGCGGTAATAAAATTTCTCTATCCATTAATAAAATAATTTCGAATTCGCGATCGAATCATATTCAGTAAATCGATAATCAATTCATTGCGTTATCATTCCGAATGATATCGTTTGATGTGTCGAAATGTATATTTGACGTATTTTCAGAGGAATCCGATTTACGACGTTCGGGAAGTTTGTCACCGCAAAATGGAAACATCGAATTGTGGGAGGAAATCTCGGAGAGGACATTTTTCCGTAATATTGCTAATCGATTTTGAATAAGAATGATGAATTAATAGTTAAATTTATGATAGCATAAACATGTTTTCATAGGTCATTCAAAGGTTTTCATTGATTTCACCGCTGACCGCATTTTAACGTTGTCAGTCAAAATTTCATCTTTCCGACAATGAACAAAAACGCCTTTCATCTCTTTGTTTTCTCCATTCTTTAATCAGTGAGGTATCCGAATGAATTGCAAATTAATTCAAAATTTTATTTCAACTGAACGGTGTCATTTATGCAATCGAAATTATCACCGAATTAAAAATGATTTGTTTGATATGATCAAAAAGTATTTATTCAATATTGTTCAATATTTAAATTCATGTTTTCCTAAAATGGGTGGAAATATTACAATTTCAAAGAGATGGTAAGCAATATTTGCTTTATCATGCGGTTGGAATAAAATTGAAATTTGATGAAAGAAAGGTGACTGATCGGATGAAGAATCTCTCTCGAAAGTTGATCGGAATATACGGAATGCTTAATCGTTTGGAATATTTTTTCATTGCAAAACTGAATCGGTGGAAAAGTAGCAAAATAAATTTCGGTAATGCTAAGACTGTTTTGAATAATTAAATTTTGTCAGAAACAAAATTGAATTCAATTTAATTGAGCACAGACCGAAAAGAGTGAGTGATTTACAATGTCACCTTTCGCTTTTTGTCTCTTCAGAATCACTGCCGGACGATTGCGCTCGTTCATCTCCCGTGAAACTGATATTGGAATGATTCAATTCTGATTTACTCCTTTCCGGTTTGATCGTATCCTTCAAATATATCATTAATGCTTGACATTATATCGTAAAATGCTATAATTAGACCAATATATTAACTACTAGCTCATATTATGCTAATTTCAAGAAAGTAACGATCATTTTGCAAATTTCTTTGTTAGCGTCACACGTCAAATTCAATTACTAGTAAGAATTGATTCAAATTTGATTGAAAGTAATGTCATATTACTGTTTTTTATCAGACAAACTGATTTGCGGATACAAAAATTTAGTGATTATGTTGCTATTTACTTCAAACTAATTTTATTAATTTCAAACTTATTATACAAAAAATCAA